GGTAGCTGATCTTTCCTTCTCTTCCCCTCCCCACCTCTTTTTCTCCCCTCAGTGGGTGGGCAGAGCAAGTGGGGCCTGCAGATGCATCCCATCGGGTTTTCTCTGTTTTGTGTCCCCCACCATTAGCCTTGGGTGTGTCAGGTGTCTGCAGCTTCCCTGCTGGGTCTGGAACAAAAGGGTGAAAGTGCCATTTAGTAGCAAGGGACTTTAGGGAGCCTGGTTGGGCACATTCTTCCAGCACAACTGGCCCTGGGTCTCCACACTGAAGACTCCAGGCCTTGTTCTCACGTGGGCCTGAACTCAGAAGACTTGTCCCTAACACACGGTGACCACATAGGATTATAGGGCAGGCCTGGCCCTTGAGCCACTGGCAGCCCTAGCACAGGGGCCATGTAGGCCAGAGTCCAGCTGTGCTCCTTTCTTGCCCTCACCAGATCCTGTGGGTTTGAACTAAGATGAGTGCCCCCCATCTTGCTCCTCCCATACCACAGCTCCAACTCACTGCCTCCCCCAGGTTAGAATAGCCCTCCACATCTCAGGTCTGCCTTCTACTTCTCTCCCTCCCTATAAGCCATCCCTGCAGCAAGGGGAATCTTTCTCATCTGCAGACTACCTCCTGACTCCCCTGAGGGTCAAGCGCCCCAGCCCAGAATCTGTTTTGGGGAGAACCAGACACGGGGCTGTTTGAATGGCCCTCTAAGCCTGCTGGTCAGTGTGGGGACAGCAGGCTCATTTGCATTTCTGGTCTTCACTGAGTCCTGCATTCCCTAGACACCCATTACAAGGGGCTGTGACTAGAAGAGGGTTGTGCTCACCAAGTGGGTGGTGAGGTTCTGGCATGAGGAGGGATGGGGTCCAGGACAGTGAGACTGTGGCCCAGGTTGGGAGTGCTCAGCTTTCCTAGTGCTGGGTGGAAGAACAGAGTGACACTTCTCCCTCAGAAAACATGGAAAGGAGGGGCCTGCCAATTTAATGAGCCCAGCCAGCAGATATTTACAGCTAATTACGCTTCAACAACAAATCTTCCTTAAGAAATTTGCCCACCCCCCTTCCAGGGTCTCTGACAACACTTTTTCTGGTCAGCCACAGTGACCTACAAGCTCTGTGCTACTTTCTCAGCAAGTCATGGTGTGCCTGTGGCCTGCAACATCTGTCCATCAGGAGGTCTGCAGGGGCAGCCCACCCCCATCATTCCACAGTGGCCCAGGGTGACCTCAGATGTCATCCAGTATGATGGTCTCAGGAGCTGTGATTGGCCAGGTGGAAAGGTGGGGGAAAGGAATCAGATTTGAGTGAGAGCAGAGATGCCGTTGTGTCTTGTTGAAAGGTAAAAGGGATAGATTTGCATCCAACAGAAGAATTGGGCTGTGAGACTAGTACCTCTGTTCAGTGTAAGTGGTAAGGACTGTGGACATTCTTGGAAAGGTTTTTTGCTGTTGCAGTTATTAGATAGTTGAATGGCTTAAAAATAAAAATCAAGTATATTAAATGTTACAGATGCTGTTTTAAAGGTTTAAGGAAGTTTAAGTTAGTTTGTAAATGACATAAAATATTAACCAAAGGTCCCTTTATAAGTGGCTGTTATCATTTCATAAATAGAATATTAATATTTGTGACTAGAACTTATATATTTTGTGGCCATATTATTAGGTGCATACAAGTTTAAAATTATTTTATTTTACGAGTGAACTCAACTTTTTATTGTTACATGACATTTTGTGTCTCTGTAACATTTTGCCTATAAAATTTCTTTGTTGACATGTTAATAGAATTGTTAATATGGCCGTATTTGTTTCATTTGAGTTAATAGTCACGTGGTATGTTTCTTTCCATCCTTCTACTTTCAAATTTCTTGTATCCTTGTACTTCAGATGATTCCCATCTTCTGTAAGCCAGATAAAATCAGATTATTTTTAACCAGCCTGACAATACTGGTCATTTAGTCCCCCTGGATTTCAGACCTCTTGCCAAGGTTTCAAGTCTCCAGTTTTTGGTAATCTGTTATGACAGTTCCAGGAAACTGAGATAGGTTCTGTCAGCTTGCTTCCTTAATGTGTTTGCATTTAGTTCCTCCTGTCAAAAGCAGGAAGACAACTGGTGGCATGGGATGAAGTAACTAAAAGAAAATGAAAATTCTAGTACCATATGTCAGTATTAAGAAATCAGAAGACATCAATACCATGTTTAATAATGGCCATCTGGGGGAGATTGGGGGGGTGGTTTTCACATTCTGTATTCTTTATTTCAATAAACATTTGTGGTTTTCTTTTTATAATGGCAATATTATTTATACAAGGAATGAGTCAAGATATACACTTAAAATAATAAAAAGAAGGAAATTTAAACCCCTCTGTTTTTTGTGTGTTCACAATTTTGGAGCCCTACGAAATATTTTTGGGGGGTGGGGAAGTGAATTGGCCAAGATTCATATTCAAAAATTTATTTTTCCACCCTTTTACTTTTTTATTTCAAAAATTATTTATTTACTTTCTTATTTATTTAAATTTTATTTATTTTTAGCTAATGTATGCCTGTTATGTGCTATTTGTAATAGCAAAAAATTGGGAACAACCTAAATATTTAACAATATGGGATTGATTAACTAAATTCCACTCTATACTGTAACGGATTCACTCTGCTATGGGGAACATATGCAGCCATTAAAAAAAAACTTGCATAGAAGTATCTATTAATATGGAAAAATGTTTATGACACACTGTTATACTGTTTTGAATGAAGAAGTTTACAACATGGTGAGAGTAGGTTGAGTTAAATTTTTCTGGCTTTGTTTTTATTGAGATAAAATCAATATAACAAAAATTTAACCATTTTAAAGTATATAATTCAGGGTCAGTTAGTATATTTACAACATTGTGCAACCATTACTTCTACCTAGTTCCGAAATGTTTTATCACCCTCAAAGGAAACCTCATATCCATAAAGCAATCACTCCCCATTCCCTCTCCCCACCAACACGAGGCAACCACTACTGGATTCTATGGATTTGCCTACTGTGGATATTTTATATAAATAGAATCATGTAATATGTGTGGCCGTTTGTGTCTGGCTTCTTTCACTTAGCATAGTGTTTTCAAGGTTCATTCATGTTGTAGCAAGTATCAGTATTTCATTCCTTTCTATGGCTCAATAATATTCCATCGTGAGGGTGTATCATATTTTGTTTATGCATCCATCTGTCGATGGATCTGGTTGTTCCTACAGTTCTCCCTCTTGTCTATTGTAAGTAGTGCTGCTATGCATATTTGGGTACAAGAATTTGTTTGATAACCTCTGTTCAATTCTTTTGGGTATAGAGGGTGGAATTGCTGGGTCATATGAAAATCCTGTTTAACTTTTTGAGGAGTGACTACACTGTTTTCCACAGTGGCTGCACCACTTTACATACATTACGTCTGATCAGTAATGCATGAGGGTTCCAATTTCTGTACATCCTCAACACTTGTTATTGTCTTTTTTAATTATTTTATTATTATATTATACTAATATATTATAATTACAGTCATGCTATAATAATGGGTGTGACATGGTATCTCATTGTGATTTTGATTTAAGTTTCCCTAATGACATTTCCCTAATGACTAATGATGTTGAGCATCTTTTCATGAGGTTTTGGCCATTTATGTATTTTCTACGGAGAAATATCTATTCAAACATTTGCCCAATTTTTAAAAAAGATTTATTTATTTGAGAGAGAGAGAGAACAGGGGAGAGGGAGAGAGAAACCCAAGAAGACTCCAGACTGAGTGCAGAGCCCAACATGGGGCTTGACCTCACAACCTTAGCTGAAACCAAAAGTTGGCTGCCTAACCGACTGCGCTATCTAGGTGCCCCCATTTGCCCAATTTTAAATTGAATTGTTTATCTTTTTATGGTTGAGTTCTAAGAGTTCTTTATATGTTATGGACACTAGACCCTTATCTGACATATGATTTGCAAATATTTTCTTCCATTTTGAGAATAGTCTTTTCACTTTCTGGATAGTGGGCATGAGTTCCTTTTAATAGAAAATAAGAGATACATCTCTTTCATTTAAAAAAACAACAACAACAACCTGAATAAATACCGTCTTAAACCAAAGGTGATTATCTCTGGGTAGTTTGGATTGTCACTATTTTGTTATTTCTGAATTAACTGAGGCAATGTTTTCCAAGCTTACTAATTTTGCAAATTGGTAAATGGAAAGTGAAAGCTTCCAATCGTTAGTTCATTTTATTATGACTTCCGTGAATCTTGTAAGGAACCTGAAGTGATGGACATTTAGGGGGTTTCTGGGGCAGGGTGTTGTCCTGAGTCCCTGGGTGGGTGGATAGTCCCAGCTCTTATCTTTGTCATTCTGTTTTGCTTCTACTACCCACTGGGGCACATCTTGGGAAAAGGAAACTGAAACTGAAGCTAAATTCAGCCACTGGTGAGGCTCTCTCCCCAGACACTCCCCCTGACGTGCTCGACTCAGGTTCATAAAAGGGCCGAGCAGGAGAAGAGCTGGAAGCTGAGAGGCAGCCCACTCGTCTGTGCCTGTGGAGGATCCGGTGCCAGAGACCACAGTCATGGTGAGGGGTGTTTGATAGGTGGGGGCAGGTGGGCTCTGTACCAGTCTATTTTCCTACTTCACTGCTGGGGTCACCCAGGGGTGGAACACCCACTGTGTGCCAGGCAAGTGGAGTTGCTCGGAGCTCCCCCAGGTCCCTAAGCATGAGGGGAGGGACAGGTCTCCTTCCCATGTCAGGTTGGGGTCTGGACCTTGGAAAGCATGTTCTGCCCAGTGTTAACCCTGAGATCCCCTTGGCATTGGCACAGAGGGGCATCTTAGTGGGTTAGGGGAGGTGAGGTGATGGTCGTGGGTGGCTGGCCTTTCTTCTGGAAACGCTCCCTGCTTGCCTCCAACCCCTGGGGTCCCTTTCCTGGAGGGTGGGGAGGAAAGAGCAGCATTCCCAGGACTGATGCCGAGTTCTGAGTCTGTGTGATGCCCACAGGAGGGGAGCCTGAAGGTGAAGATGCTGGGGGGTGAGGAGTTCCTGGTACCCCTGAGGGGCTCCACACTGGCCCTGGAGCTGAAGCATCAGATAGCCCAGAAAACCGGCGTGCCTGCGTTCCAGCAGCGCCTGTCTACCTACCCTGATGGCAAAGTGCTGAAGGAGGAGGTCCCTCTTGACAGCCAGGGCGTGTACCCTGGCAGCACGGTCCTGCTGGTGGTGCAGAGCTGTGACAACCCCCTGAGCATCCTGGTGAGAAACGACAAGGGTCGCAACACCGCCTATGAGGTCCGGCTGACGCAGACCGTGGCTGAGCTCAAGCAGCAGGTGTGCCGGCAGGAGCATGTGCAGGCTGACCTGTTCTGGCTGAGTTTCCAGGGGAAGCCCATGGACGACCAGCAGCAGCTGGGGGACTATGGCCTCACACCCCAGTGCACTGTGTTCATGAATTTACGCCTGCGGGGGGGCGGGGGTGGGGAGTGGGCAGGACCAGGAGGGCAGCGCTGAGGGCCACCCGCCCGAGTCCCTGATCAAGTGCGGGTAATAAAAGTTGGCGCAAAATTAAATGGCACCTTACGTTTGGTCCTTCCCCCAGCACCCCTCGCTTCTGCATCCCTGCTGATGAGGCTGGGGGAGGGACAGAGGAGGAAGTGGGATAAGGAGACCCAGGGTCACTGGGTGGTCACTAGGCTGGGGTTGCCAAGTTAAGGGACAAGTCTAGTGAGATGAAAATAGTGATCCACTCCCACCCACCCCTTGGACAAATTGAAGATGTCCCCACACCTTTGGGAAATTAACTTCTAGAGAAAGAAAAGAGGCACCTCTGCTGGAGCCCACCCCTAGCTCCATCCAGACTGAGCCCCAGTCAGCCTCTGCACAACTGGTTCCCAACCCCCACATCTGGGTCAGCAGACAGTCCAGGGAGGGGAAGGTGTGGTCAGGTTCCTGCTGGGACCAGCAACCCTGGAAGTGGGGAGGGGGTGAGGCGCCAGGGCCTGAGTGGGCGGGCTGTGAGGTAGGTTCCTCCACACCAGTCAGGGCCTTGGGGCCTCTTGGCTCTCCAGGACCCATCAGCCTGCCCTGTCCAGTCTGCATTGGTCTAGGGAGGGGTGGGGGCAGGGCCTTGAACACACATCACCATGGGGCAAGCTGCTGAATGGAGACTATGCTCCAACAGACACACCTGCCTTCAGGGCTTCGGGTAATGAGAGGCCACGGCCAGCAGGAGAGGGTCCTCCAGGAATGAGGGGTGCCTCCAGTCCATGTGGAAGAGCTTGTCCCAGATGGGGGCACCTAATTTGGCAAAATCTACAACTGCTTTCACATAGAATGCTTCTTTCTATACCAATTTCCCAAGAGCTCCATGGGAGCCAGATGGAGTCAGTGTTGGACACAGGCAAGATGCGGGTGGTGGGCGGGGTGGGGGGGGGAAGATGGGAGACACAGAACATACACTTCTTTGGGCTAAAGTCCATGACTTCAGCTTTCAGGCTGTTCAGGGTAATTTGGCTGGAGACCCAGAAGCCCATTTTTGGTCTGTGGGGGTCTGTATCAGGCCGAGGGACTTCTAGGTCTGGCTTGTCTGTGACCAATAGGTGTAGACAGGCAGCTGTGTGTATGTGTGTGGGAGGGGTGCTCCCCTGGTTCCAGCTTCATTTCCCGGGTCCCCACCCTCACTACTTTGTCATACTACAAATTAGCAAGTGAGGGCACCTCACCTTGGAGGGGAGGTAGGGTCCTCCTCCAGAAGGGCCCCTACTACCACTCACCCTCCATTGCTTCAGAGATCTGTGGCTGGCTTGGAGTGAGGGGGTGTGCCGCAGACCCGGCCCTGGAGGGACAGAAGGGGGTCTCCTCTCCCTTCCCCTCAATCTTCAGCTAAGCTAGGCTCTAATCTGTACCTCTGAATCTCAGTTCTCCCCCCTCCCCCCCCCCCCCGGTACCTAGACCGGCTGGCAGGAGTTGCGCCCACCTGGGGGCTGAGGAGGGGGCGTGGCTGGCCGTCCACCGCGAACCCGACATCGTCTCAGCTGGACTGCAGAGGGAGCCCTCCACTCCGCAGTGAGGCCAGAGAGGACCCGGGAACGGGAGGTGGGCGGGCCTGCGCTCCGTTCTGACCAATCACCACAGCCCCCAGCCCACATTGGTCCTAGCCAGCCGGGGGCGCGGCCTGCAGGGGCCGCCTACTCGCCTGAACTGGCTGGGGGTCCCGGGCCCGGGCGAGTTTCCGTCCCCAGTTTCCTAAGAGAGGTTGTAGTTCCCCATCAGGTTCTTCCCGCCAGGGGAGGGGCGCAGCCCTGCAGGGCTCGAGGGACGGCGGGGTCCCAGGATTTGGCAGCCCCTTCCCGCGGCCAGGAAGCTCCCGCAGCTCTGGCCACGGCATAGCCTGGAACCCCTTGGAAGTCCCGTCACGTCGCCTCCAGATTATGCATTAACCCGATTGCAGCCGCATTTCCTGGGCGGGGGGGGCGGAATGGGGTGGGGGGGGGTGGGGGAGAGACGTCCGCGCGGGAGGGGGAGGGGAGTCCGTGGGGGTGAGCCGCAGAAGAGAGAGCACCCCCCCCGGGCCCGCCCACCCCCTGCTCGGTCCGCCCTCCGCCCTGGCAAGTCCCACCACCCACCTTGGCCCGACCCAGTCCGGCCCCCTCCCTCCCACCAGCCCGGCCTCCGCCCGGCGCCGCTATCCCGACGCTTTGTTCGCGGCCGGCGCGGGTCGCAGGGCGCCGGGCGGGCCGGGGACCGGCGCGGGCTGGGGAGCTGGGTTGGGGGGAGGTGGGGAGGCGAGGAGGGGGCGGGGCTGCCCCGGGTCCCGCCCCCGCGCCGCCCGCGCTCCCACCGCCTCCCGGGAGCTGCGTCCCGTCCTGTCTAGTCCCGTTCCCGGCGCGGCCAGGCCCGCGCGCTTGCTCTGGCCGCCTTCCGCCGTCCTCGGCCCGCGCCATGGCCAGCCTGCGGCCGTCCGGCTCGGCCCCGCTGCAGCCGCTACTGCTGCTCCTGGTGGTGGCCGGGCGCGCCCTGCCCAGCGCCGACGGGACGTGCCCGGAACGCGCGCTGGAGCGGCGGGAGGAGGAGGCGAATGTGGTGCTCACCGGCACCGTGGAGGAGATTCTCAACGTGGACCCGGTGCAGCACACGTACTCGTGCAAGGTGGGCCCCCGCCGGGACCCTGAAACCCTCCCCCCCCCCAAAAAAACCCTCCTGGAAGCCTGGGTTGGGGGGTCTCTTCCCCCGCCATCCTGGACGCCTAGCCCGGAGGCCCTCCCTTGGAGTAACTGGCCGCCCCACTGAGACCCCCGCCCCAGGCCGTGGGAACGGGCACCAGGCGCTCTGCAGCTCCCGCTCCCGCTCCCTTGGCGACCGCCGAGCCCCCGGGTGGGGCTCCGAGTCCCGGAAAACTCGCGAGTACCAGAGGGAAAGTTCCTGCGGTACCGCTGCAGTCCCACCTCGCGGTGCCCAGGCCCGGGAGCCCCGATCATGTCTACCCCAACCCCCACCCCAGGCCCACTACCTTATTGCAAACAAGTGCACCGCCCCCCAGGGAAACTGGATGGCTACCGCACCCCTCCCCAGTAGTTAAAGAAAAGAAGGGGGATGAGAGGAGGTGACGCCTTCTGCTTGGAGTGAAAGTGGGGATTCGGCCTATGGTCAGTGCTGTCACCCCTTCCCAGAGGCCTTTACTAGGGCCAGAGGGGTGGTCAGGAGAGAGAGTGAGGTGCACATCTAATCTCCCAACCCCAGGGATCCTGGGGGGGGAGTGCTGCAGTGACTCGGTGCGGGAGACAGGAGCAGAGAAGTGGGCGGGACCGTTGCTCAGCCTCAAATGTGGAGGGGTGCAGGGACAGGTGCCCCACCCTGCTCCTAGGAGAACTGGATCCCCCTGGCCCAGCCTCTCCCTCAGTTGGATGTTGGAGCCCCCCGGGGATAGGTTTGGTGGTTTGTTTGTTTGTTTTGTTTTGTTTTTTTCCCACAGTATGTTCCTAGGGAGGACTCAGGGGACCTGGGCCCGTCCCCGCTCTGGCCCCTAAAACCACCTCCCTGACCAGAAATCGGATCATTCCTTCTCCATGGAGATGGGGAGGGGTGGCAGCTTCTTTCAGATTGGCCTGTGCAGGCTACAGCTGGGATCCCCAGCCCAGCCCCCTCCCCTCCACCACGCCAGGGCACTTTGCCAAGTCCCTGCAGGATTTTCCCGACTTCCTCCCCGCTGCTCCTGGGTGTGGCTGGGGTGGGGGGAGGCGATGAAAGCGGCCCAGCCCTCTCCCTGCTGGTTATCATCCTTCTAGAGCCTACTATGTGTCTGGCGTTGGGAGGGATAAGGTTGGACAAGGCTTACCCCCCAGCTGGGCCACTGGAAGGTGAAGGGGGTCCCTACAGAAGCTGCAGTCCCAAGGCTCCCAGCAGGGACCTGGCAGGTGGGGAGGCCACCGTTGTCTTTGATCATCCATTCCAGAAGTCTCAGCTCCCCGGAGCTCCTGAAGAAAGGGGTTTCTTCTCAGAGAGTGTGTGTGGGCTCATGTCCCTTGGGCATATGTCTCCATGGACATCCCAGTATAGCCTGCAGCTCCTGCAACTCTCCTGCCCCCCCACCCCCTACCCCAGCTGTGGGTGTCTCAGGGCTTGGTTTGTCAGAGCAGGTACCCTCAGGGCCCCAGGAGTGAGAGTGTGTAGGGTGGGGCCGCCCTGTGCTGCCCAAACTTGATTTTGTGGTTCCAAGTCTGCCTTGACTACATTCACTGTAGGAGCCTGGCAGAAGGAGGGGTCTTTCACCTCTTGGGGTGGGGGGGGGTGTCTTAGCCCACCCACAGGGCTGCAAGGAGCCAAGCTGACCCAGAGCCCTAAGCTCAGAGCCCATTGCCCTGAAACTCCATGGTCCATGTTAGGTGCCCCTGGCTCTTAGTGGGTGGGTAGATGGGGAAAACAGGGGCATGGAAAGCAGGAACCTAGACCAGGTGGATCCCCTTCCTATATCCAGCCTGAACTGAGATGGACATTAATGGAGGTGACTGGGGTCAGTTAGACCCGGGGGGTGGGAGGGTGTGTGTTCACAGGCTGCATGTTCTTCTGTGTGACACACACAGGCAGTGGCATCCATCACGTGTGTGTGCTTCCCTGCAGCCTCCTCCTGGGGGGCTGACCCAAAGATCTCTGTACATCTCTGCCCCGGGGTTTGAGTCTACTCTGGGCATCCGACGTGAGCAACTGAGGTGGGAAGAGAAGAAAATGCCCAGGTGACCAGTCTGGTGCTTGTCCCTGGACTCTTTGGCCTCATCTCCCCAGTGGAAAGAGGACCACTGATATCTGTCCCCCCCCCCCACCGTGTCCACCCCAGGTTCGAGTCTGGCGGTACTTGAAGGGCAAAGACATGGTGACCCAAGAGAGCCTGCTTGACGGTGGCAACAAGGTGGTGATTGGCGGCTTTGGAGACCCTCTCATCTGTGACAACCAGGTGTCCACTGGGGACACCAGGATCTTCTTTGTGAACCCTGCACCCCCATACCTGTGGCCAGCCCATAAAAATGAGCTGATGCTCAATTCCAGCCTCATGCGCATCACCCTGCGGAATCTGGAGGAAGTGGAGCACTGTGTAGAAGGTATTTAGGGACTCACCAGGGGAAGAGGGTGACTGAAGTGGGCAGGCTTGGAGGAGCTCCATCATGCCCTGGGGAGCAGAGGACAGTTCGCTGTAGGCTAGAGCACATGTGTCTTGTGGCGGTCTGGTCTCCTTCCTATCCCCCTGATCTCCCAGTTGTGTCTGGCCATCTCAAGGTCAGCTCCATTCTCTGACATTAGCAGGGATTCCCACTCTCCACCCCCCACCCCCACCCTACAATGCCACTGTCTGCTGTCTTGGAGCCAAGCAAGTCCCAGTCCTGCAAAGGGACACTCTTCTGCTTACCCCCCACCCCACCCCCCACTGGCTCCACACCCCCTCCTGGAGGGTCCTTTTCTGAGTGAGAGGCGGGGACCAGGTGAATGAACACCAGCTGTTTATATTCCTGCAGAAGCCCAAACATCTGTCTGGACGGGTCCCAGATGTTGAGCAAACCCCTCAGAGTGGGGCATAGGGATTGGAGGAGGGGATGCCCCCTATGTGTTCCAAGAGGCCTGTCATTTCTGGAAAGGGGGAGTTTTGTGGGGTGGGTATGGAATTCCCTAACTGAGTTGTCTGTTGTCCACACAGCACATGTCTATTCTGGATGGCCCAAGAGCACCCCTCCCCCAGCCCAGCCTCTGTGAGGTGAGCTGGAATCACATGACCATGGCTTCCCTGCCGCCCCCCCCCCCCCCGCCTTTGCCCCAGGAGAGTCCCAGTTGGGGGCTGAGATCCTTTGCTGGGGAATGTGGCAGGGAGAATGTAGGAACTGCCCCTCGCCCCCACATCCTGTCCCCTCATGGCTGCCTGGGAAGGGATGCATTGGAGGGGGGTGGTTGGGGGGGGGAGTGGAAAGAACATTTCCTCCGCAGGGCAGTGGGAAGGGTCCGTGACTTCCTTCCTCTGGAAGGCAGCTCTGTCCCTCTGTCTCCTTTTGGCCAGCAGGGAAGTCCCACCTTCTATCTAGCTTGGGCTGTGATGCTGGCTTTGTTTTTGTGGGATCCTGGATGGTGGTCTGAGAGGGACTGTGCAGGAGTAGGGGCAGGAGCTGAAACGGGGAGCCCTGTGTCATTCTGCCCAGCCTATTGTTATCTGTTCCTGGGGCTGCACAGAGACGCCAGCAGGTCCCTTCCCTGCAGTGCCTCAGATGAGGGGTCCCAGCCTAGCCCTCACACCGAGCAAGGACTTGAGACCCTGGCCCTGCTCTGGACAGGTCTTGGGAAAGATGGGAGGGTGGCATGGCAATGGGGCAGGCTGTGGGATGGTGCTGCCACGTTTTGGGGATGAGTTGGGGGGGTCTAAGGAGAAGCTGGAGAAGAGGAGTCAGGGTCCCCTGTCCCTATAAGATAGAATGAATTATCAACTCTACAGCTGGGCAGGTCCAGCCTGAGGGTCTGTGATTCAGTAACTGTGGCCTTCCGTGGGGTCAGAGGGCATGTGGTGGGAGGGCCACCCTGGACAGAACAAGGTTTGGCATCTTGCCAAAGCCTGTTCTACCCATGCCAGCCCCTGGCTCTGGATATGCCAGGCTGGGCACAGGGACTGCTAGAAAGGAGGGTACCCAGGGAGAGCCCCCCCCAGCCAGGACTGGGTGGGACCTGACCTACTGTGTGCCCTGGGCAGCCAGCACTCAGCTACGAGGCTAGGACCTGAGCTCCAAGGGGAGGTAGGGTGGTGCTAGACATATAGGCCAGCGTACAGCAATGGAGGGGCTGAGGCATTGGCCAGTCCTGGGCTGGGCCTGCTGGGGAGGGTGGTCTTGGGGAGAGGGGATGCAGAGAAAGGCATTAGCCATGACCAGCTTGGGGCCTTGCAGGTGGAGCCAGGTGGAGGGGAAGCACCTTTTGGGGAGGGTGCTTCCCTCCCCAAAGGGAAGGGAGGAGGTCAGGCTCCACTGTGAGGTGCCTGGAAGTGTTGAGCTGGGTGACATAGATCTCTACTTTGAAAGCAAACCAGGGTGCCATGGGGGGTGGGCTGGGAGGGCTGGGTTCTAGGACAGGGTTGAGGTACCCCAAAGGCCCAGGGTGAGGGGGGTGCCTCCCACTTGAGGCTCCCTGAGACCTGAGGCACAAGATCCCCCTGGAGCTAGGACCAAGCTTGGGGAAGGAATAATTCTGTGCCCACCTTCCCAAGCTGGGTGAGGGTGGGAGGATGGATTCCTCCTATTCTGCAGCAGATAAGGACCTCAGACCCCACCCCAGGACTCCATCCTAGGCTGTCTGGGAGCCAAGGCCTCACCCTAGTGAGGGGAACAGATGGACAGTGCTTGAGCTAAGCTGACTCTTCCCCATCTGACTCTGACCCCATTCTGTTCCCAGGGGCTCCATAGTTGTCCGAGCCCCACAGGGCTGAGGGAAGCCTGGGCAGCCCACGTCACTCGGAGACCACCAGCTCCCGCTGTGTGCAGGAAATCCCTGTCCCTAGCACACTTCCCTCCCCAGGCCCCCCCATTCCTAAAAGGCCCAGAACAGCCAAGGTGGGGGGCATGTTCTCCCAGGTCTACCTCCTGGGGTACACCCCTGGTCTGCTCCCTCCTCATCCCTGCCTAGGCACCGCTCCCTGCAGTGTCCTGAAGGGACACCTGCTGCTGGGCCGCAAAGGCAGTCCCTCCCCCCAGGGCCTACAGGGTCTTCCTTCCCCAACCTCCAGCCCCCAGGAAGCCTCCTCCTCCTCCTCTGGTCCTCAAGCCCTCCTCCCCCTCCCCCCTTCTTCCTCCCCCTCCTCCCCCTCCCCCTCCTCCTCCTGGGGAACCACATTCCTGGCATAACTGAGACAGGTATGTGTCCCTCCCTCTGCGCCACCTTTGGGTGAGGGAGGCCTGCTGCTCTGGGGCAGCCTCTGCCAGAAGGAGACCCCCACCCCCTGCCTCGTCAGGGAAGTAGCCTGGCCTCTTCCAGTACCAGCTGCCCACGCACTGTGAGCCTGCCCAGGCTGGCAGCTGAGCGGGCATTTCCTCCAGCCCTCAGCCCCCACGCTCCCACCACCCTCCCCACCCTCCCCTCATGAAGATTGGTCCTAGGGCTTCTCCTGGAGCCCCCAGAAGGGACATGGGCCTGGCTGAAGGCCTGGGGCCCTTCCCTCCGCACTAGGAGCCAGAAGCAGAGAAAGGAAGTGTTGTCTGCCCTCAACTGGGGCCTGGCACAGGGACGGGGTCAGAGTGAGTCTGGCACTGGCCCATCCCAGCCCTGCCCAGCCCTGGAGGGGGTCCTGGCAGGCCCGATTTTAGCAAGTTCCCTCCCTGCCTCCCTGCCAGGCCAGCTGTCTAGGACCTGAAGGGGGGCAGTGCTGCAGGTCAGGATGGAGAGACAAGAGGTCCTGAGCCGCTTGACTTCTTTCAGACCCTACAGGCCTTGGAGCTGGGTGTGGGTGGCAGACACCCCCAGACAGGGACCAGCTCCCCACAGTGTGGGGGCAGGCAGATGTCCAGGGAGGTTTCTGGGCTCTTCCCTCTGTTGCCTGGCACTTAGCTTCTGTCCTCCCCCCCATTCCTGCCCTACTGCCCTACTCCCCCCACATGCCTCCCTGCTGAAGTGGGAGGTAGGTAACTTCTCCCTGTCCCCTCTTCTGCCCTCTTCCAGACTGTGGGTTCTCACCCCACCCCTTTGCAGACCCCACCCAGTGTCCTCCTGGGCCCCTCCCCCAGGCAGGTCAGCCAGGAGGGCTGAGAGAAGGCAGGCCCGGACTCGAGGTTGCCTGTCCCACTCTCTCCTTCCCTTCGCTGGGGGAGGGAGTCTGCCCAGGGGGGCATGACCCCCCACTGTGCTGGCCTGTCCCCGCCCGGGAGTCCTTGGCTGGCAGTCAGGTGCTTCCAGGGCACCTGCTGGCTTTGGCTTTGATTTTGGTGTGCATTTGCTGGGGCAGCCCCAGGGTGGGGGGCTTTGCTAGCCGAAACCAGAGGGCTTGCTCTCATGTCACTTCCCTGGGAATGTCTTCCATTTGGGCAGGGCTAAGCTAGTAGAAACAGCTCTGGGCTTTTTCCAGACCCCACCCACCCCCTCGCTCCCCAGCCCCTGCAGACTGGAAATGGAAAGAAAGGTTGTTTTGGACCTGTCCTCCCTCTCCCTCTGTCTTCGCTGGCCACCCCGAGCTGTGCTAGGCAGAACACGTTCTGGTGGGGCTGGCTCCGCCCTTGCAGCCCCTCTGTGGGTGCTGGGACCATGCTGCACAGATGAGGATACGGAAGACCACCTGCTCAACACGAGCTGCCCCCGCCCTGCCAGTCCTCACAGGCCGGGGCATGGGTGACGGGATGGGATGGGGCTGTCCCAGGGAAGTTAGTGAGACAGGCGCCCAGGCCTCGGGGCCAAGGGTCTAGCACAGCCTCCTCCATCGAGGCTGTGTTGCTTCCTTCCTGAAGGGTTAATCCCCCCCAACCCCATGAGAATCAAAGCCTGCCGCCCATCACCACAGGAGGGTGGGAAACAGCTGCAGAAACAGGCCTCCTTCCCCCCCTCCGCCCAACGCTTTGCCTCTGTCTGTGGGACCCAGGCCAGTTGCACCCTGTCTCCCCCGCGCCCAGCAAGTTCTACCCTTGCTCGGAGACCAGGGGGTAGGGTAGAGAAGGGACCCCCTTTCCTCTCTGCCCTCTTGGCCCTAGCCACTGGGACAGGGAATCAAGGCTCCCCACTCAGGCCCCTGCGGCCTGGCTGGGGCCGGGCTAGGGCTCTAGGTGCAATCACCACAGTAACCCACATGGTACCGTACACCCCAGAGTCCCAGAAAGCGCCCACTGGAAGTGCTCACTGATAAGGTAAAGGGGGCTGAGAAACGACGCAGCACCCCAGTGGCAGTTACGCTAATGATAGTGACACCGTTCGGTGAAGGAGGGTAATGTGCCCCCCATGGTTCTCTACTGGGGCTTAGGAGGGGGGTCATGTTCAAGCCCTAGGCTGTGGTTAGGATCTGGAGAGCGGGTGACCTAGGCCTCTGGTGGGGCATTCAGTGGGGAGAGAAGCTCCCCTCAAAGGGGCCTCTCTACCCCCCAGAGCAGATCCTGAG